AAAGTTTAGGCCAGATGATTTAATGAATTCCCACTTTATAAACTGATTAAAAAGCTCCAGGCTAAGAAGACAATTTCCATGAAATGTACAGGAAGAAGCTAATGAAGCAAAACAGGTAATTGCTCTGATGAAGACAAGAAAAAGGGCCTCTAAACTCTCTGGTATGACTGAACACACAATGACATGCAACATCATTTAATTAATATTTCCTTTAGATTGAGATAGAATTGAAGATTACACTCAATATTATAAATTCATAATATTCAAATTTTCTTAAATTTCGAATACATCATAATTTGCCTAAGCAATTTGGTGATGCTAACCCTCAACCACATTTAAAGATATGTCACTTGGGCACCTGGGTGGCTCAGTCGGTTAAGCATCTGACTTCAGCTCAGGTCATGATCTCCCGGTTCATGAGTTCAAGCCCAGCATGGGGCCCTGTGCTGCCAGATGGGAGCCTGGAGCCTGATTCAGGTTCTGTGTCTCCCTCTCTCTCTCTGCCCCTCCCCCTGCTTGCACTTTTTCTCTCTCCCTCTCCCCCTCTCGAAGATAAATGAACATTTAAAATAATAATAAATAAATGAAAATATGTTGGTTCAGTCATTTTAAATCAATAGTGAGCACTAGCAATGTATTTACTAAATTTGGGATATAATTATTTTTAAGCACTGTGAAATAACTTATTAAAAAATCTACAAAGTAATCCTTTTCATATTTAGTTTATTCACAATCAAAACTACTTACATTTTCCTTGTCGCATATACTATAAATAACTTATTCTTAAGTGTTATAGAAATAATCCAAGTTGACAGTTTTCTTTTTCATTGTATCTAATTTTATTAATCTGGATTTCTTTAAAAATATTCCTTGGTTAGGAATTAGTTTACTGTTAATGACAAATTTATAAATCAATTACAAATACACTAATAAACAGAATTTACAAACAATATGTTCACACTCACCTATTTCCATATAGATATAATTCACATTCTTTGCTACTTATATAACAAGATACATTTTGAGGTCATTAATATTTTAAAAATCATAATTTTTAGGAAGTTGCACATCCTTCTTTTCCTTTTTTTGTTTAGAGAATGCATTCTTATTATTTTTATGATCATTATAATATTTTTAATTTCTCAAAGCTTACTTCAAACATGATAGACACATTTATATATATAAGAATTCACATTATAAATTTATATATAATTTTAGAATACCTTGCACAAAGCTTAATTTCAACTGATTAATAAACATATTATAGGTAATGTAGAAAACAATTCATTTTTCTGAACTGTAGCTCATAAATAGATAGTTCATGTTATAATGACTCAGAGATATTACAAAGTACATAAAAAACTCAGCAAGGACAAAAGCATTTTCTTTGACTAAACTAATGAAATTAATAGACACTTTAGAATCCTGATGAAGAAAAAATACATTTTTCACAAATTGAAAATAAAATGAGTAATATGAATAATTTTAAGTATAATTTCAATAATGATGAAAAGTCCTGTCCAAAATAACTTACCACAACTTCTGGAAGAAGCAATTGAAATTCTGTCAAACTTTTCACATAGAAATATTTTTAAACATATAAAATAAATTTCTTTATTCTCTGAATCCAGTATTCCAACCTGAGTATTATTTACAAGTCTGGTTTTCTTATGGTGTTTATGAGTGGGCCAAGTGTTGAGAAGGCTAGAAGACTTTTCAGAAAATAGTTTTATTAGTTTTGATGTTATGTGGCCCATGTCTAAGAGAAAAGTATTTTTCTTCTATAAGAGGCCCAAGGGAACGTGTAAAGTAGGACCCGAAAATATTAGTACTATCACGTTTCTGTCACCTCTCAATTGAAAGGAAAGAACATCTCCTTAAGTGAAAATACATGAATGAACAAATCCATCCATCTATATGTACATACATCACAGGCAATAAAAATGGATAATCACCAAAACACTCCCATTGATTATTCACTGAATCTGACACAATTTGAATAATTCTGAATAACTGTCGCTTGATTATTTGCAGGGCAAATCCCACTCCCCAAGCAAAAGAAACAGTATAGATGAATTAAATAAGTGATGATATACAAAATGTGTGTGCAATTTTTCAAAATATCTCCATGACAGAGCAGAGCAACTTTGCAGAGGTGGTATCCTACTCAGGTCTGAGAAAGTTGAGACAAGAGGGCAGAAAGCTGAGGGATGAGTAGGAACAAGTACCAAAGAGTTGCCAGTATTGTGTGGAGGCAGCCGTCTTCTTGGCAGCTGAGGAAAGGGTGATGATGGGGTGGACAAGCAGAGGTGAGGCAGACCTAACATCTAAGAAGGTGACAGTGGGGGTGGGGGGCAAGTGAGAAGAAGTGATGGAGTGTCCAATAGCCAAAGTTCTGGGGAGGGATTGAACAAATAAGTGAATAAATTGAGGGTAATGGAAGCCAGGTTCTTCTTCCATGTCAGAGAAGCATTTACAAATATGGCATTTTCGCATACTGGAAAAAAAATCTGAGATACTGCATTGTAATTTAAAGTATCAGTTTGGACTGCAGTTAAGGTTATTAATCATAAATAAATATGTAGATAGGGAAATAGATATGTATATGCATATATGTATACATTTATTTCATAAATCACTCCTTGCTGAGAGAAGCACAAATGTTTCTAAATGCCATTTTCTTAATTGAAAGAATCTACAGCTTGCGAGAGAAATGGCTGATTCCATGGCTGAGTTAGGAAAAATACAAGATGAGTGCCAAAAAATGATGGCAGTATGTCAAAAGGATGCAGGAAGGGCTCATGTGCTAAAATAAAACAATTTCAGCATCAAAATTAGTGATAGTAACAAAATACAACTCATTGATTAAAACAAGAATCTATGAGTACATACTGATATAAATTTTTCTTAAAGTTTCAAGAAAAGGGAAAGTATCTCCTTAAAGAAGAGGGACAACTAGTAGCTACAAAGGAAATGACAGAAATACAAATTCACACAATTAGACAAGGAGCACAGTGGTGGCTGATTCACATAAATCTTCAATGGATGTTTAGGCTGATGGGTGAAGGTTTTATGAACAGCAGAATATTGCCCTAGATTCTGAGTACAGTAAAACCTTGGTTTGTGAACATAATTTGTTCTGGAAACATGCTTGTAATCCAAAGCACTTGTATATCAAAGCAAATTTCCCCATAAGAAATCATGGAAACTCAGATGATTTGTTCCACAACCCAAAAATATTCATATAAAAATTATTAAAATACTGTAATATAACACAAAATAATAAAGAAAATACAAAATATAAAGAAAAATAAACAAACTAACCTGTGCTTAACTTTGAAAACTTTCGTGGCTGGTGTGAGGGAGATAAGAGAGAGGAGGGTTATTGTGTAGGATGGCTTTGACTATCAGTAATGTCTATTGGCTCAATGAAATCTTTTTCTTTTCATGCAACTTTAAGAAGGAACCCATCCACTGACACTTGCTTTTGCCTCCTTTTGAGGATTTTGTGGAAATGTGACATTGCATTGTTGTTAAACAGATTCATCACTAGCACTGCTACAGCCTTAATAGGGTGGTGCTTTTCTACAAAATTTTGCACTGTTCCCCACATTTTACACATCTCCCTAATCTCATTTAAAGTGAGGGATTCCTCCTCCTTTTTCTCCTTCTCCTCTGCAGACGAGATGTAGATGTAGACTTCTAATAAAATACTGCAATTTTGGCTATTCACATACCTCATTAGTACTTCTCGATGATTTCCTTCTTAACTTCCACCGTAATCATCTCCTTCTTACCACCTTTCTGTTCAACCTTTGTCTGCATTGGGGCCATTGTATAAACTTGTGCGGATGCTGACTGTAGTACATTATTAATAAACTCTTGTCATATACTGTAATGTAACTGGCAATAAGGCAACAGAGGAAAGGGTCTATATCTGCAAGCAGCCTGATCTAGAATGAAGCAAAGCATTCCTAAGCTTACTTTTTTTTTTTTTTTTTTTTTTTTTTTTTTAATTCTAAGCTTACTCTTGAAAGCAAAGGACTGTCTGTAAGGTGCTTTGAAGTGACAAAAAATATACTAGTGCCAGTTGTGGGCACCTTCCAACATTCTGAAAAATCATTGATTTCTGCCAAACACCGCAGCCTGAGAGCAAGCGTCAAGCATGGGAGATGATCACCCACAATCCCTCAGTGAGAGAGAGAGAGAGAGAGAAAGAAGAACCATTGGTTCAGTTGTGATCATGTGACCTTTGGCATCATGTACTACTTGTATTGCAAGACATCGCTCATTTATCAAGTTAAAATTTATTAGAAATGTTTGTTCGTCTTACAGAACACTCGCAGAACAAGTTACTCACAATCCAAGGTTTTACTGTATCTTCCTATAAAATACTTATCAACTACAATTTGGAAAATTCTAGTGAAATTTTTGGCAAACATGAAATTGACCATATGATCGAGTCACCACTGGAGATAGTGGGAGAGGGAGAGAATCCCAAGCAGGCTCCGTGCTGGCAGCACAGAGCCTGACACAGGGCTTAATCTCATGAAATCATGACCTGAGCTGAAATCAGGAGGGAGATGCTTAACTGACTGAGCCACCCTGGCGCCCCTTGAGTACTTTGATTTTAAATATGGAGTTTCAAATTATAGTCTTGAATTCTATAATGATTTCAAGAAAACATCAGAAAACATAAAACAAATAATTGTATCATGCCCAAATAAAAATTGGGTTTTGTTCACATACTTGTAAATTTAGCAGACAGTACAAATGTAATATTTGGCAAATTCCATTCAGCCTATAACCTTATCCAAGAAAATGGTATTTCCTTCTAAATGTATTACATACCTTGTACATAATACTACTAAAATGGATATTATTCGCCTGCCTGTGTTATTGAAGATTTAACAATTGGGGGTCATTTTCAGTTTCGTCAAAACATGTGAATACACTTAATGAGACTTTTGACTTTATAGAAATTGAAGAAGATAGTCTGCTCAGACATGTGCTTATAAGATGGCTATCACTGTTGCCAGAAATATTTTTTAAAGTTAAAATGCTGACCTGACTAAACATCATATTTTCAAAATGTTGAACAATAAGAATGCCCTTCTCTAATCCATTCTTTTTCATTAAGCTATAAGTGATAGACAACATTTCATTAGTTTCAGGTGAACAGCATGATTCAATATTTGTATACACGGCAAAATGATCACCCTGACAGTATCATTACTATCCATCACCACACACAGATACATTTTTTTTCTTGTGATGAGAATTTTTAAAATTTACTTCCAGCAACATTCAAATCTGCAATACAACTGCCCTTCTCTAACTTGGAAATACATTGTGAATGAGAATTATTAAGAGGATTACAGGAAAAAATATGTTTAGTTCCCCGCAAATATTGGTATTATTTAAAAAGATCATAAAGAGTCTAGAAAATGATGAACTGACTGCACATTAGCTTTTCAAAGTTATGTATAGGTTATGACAAAACTATATGGCAAAAAAGATTCAATTTTTGGAAATAAGATTGCTTCCAAACCCCCAAAAAGTCACCATAAAACACTGTAGCCAACTTAAAGAAAGACTTTTTTCTCAATTTCTTTACTAAAAATGTAACTTATCTGAAATCCACCTTCAATTTCACAAGTGCAAATTACCTCTGTGCTTTAAAACCATTCTACTCCTAGATACACATCGAAAAAAAAAAATAGGTCTTCAAACAAAAAGATATACACAAATTTATATAGCAGCACTATTCTCAATAGACAAAAAGTGGACATAATCCATATATCTATCAACAGGTAAATAGGTAAACACAATTTGGTGCATACATACAAAGGAACGCTATTCAGTCATAAAAAACGAATGAAATACCGATACCTACTACAATATAGATGAGCCCTGAAACATTGTTAAGTAAAAGGAATCAGGTCCATAGGTCACATATTACATAACTTCATTTACGTAATATATCCCTGAAGAGGTAAATATATAGGGACAAAAAGCAGATTGGTGATTGCAATGGCCTGGAGGAAGAAGAAATGGTGAAGGGCTGTTACTGGGACAGGGTTTCCTTTTGAGGTGTTGAAAATATTTTGGAACCAAACAGACAGTTTGGTTATACACCATTGTGAATATACACTTTATTTTTTTAAATCTTTTTAATGTTTATTTATTTTTGAGAGAGAGACAGAGACAGAGCGTGAGTCGGGGAGGGGCAGAGAGAGAGGAAGACACAGAATCTGAAGCAGGCTCCAGGCTCTGAACTGTCAGCACAGAGCCCCATGCAGGGCTTGAACTCGGAAACTGCATGATCATGACCCAAGCCAAAGTCAGACGTTTAACCAACTGAGCCACCCAGGCACCCCTAAATATACACTTTAAAATGGTTAGTTTTATGTTACAAGAATTATACCTCAATAAAAGTTGTTTGTTTTTTTAAATAACATCTTATTAAAAAATCTAAGTATTTCATGCTAAAAATCTTTTGTTGAGAGCATATTTAGCCTGATGTCATCACATTTGACTGACATGTAATATGGGCTTAACAAAAGCAGAGTTGCAAGTCAAAGTGAATGTAATGTTTGATGGTATTCAGTTTTACCATGACATCGAAAGAAAGAAAGAAAGGAAGAAAGAAAGAGGGAAGGAGGGAGGGAGGGAGGGATGGAGGGAGGAAGGAAGGAAGGAAGGAAGGAAGGAAGGAAGGAAGGAAAGAGGAAGAAAGAAATAAGAGAGAGAGGGAGGAAGAGAAGAAGGAAGGAAGATGTCTTAAAGGCTGTGGGAAGTTCATAAGTCTAATATTGAAAAAAGAAACAATAAAAAAATCCTACTGTATCATGTGAAGGAAAGAAACATGTCATTGTTACTTTTATTAAGTATATCTAATACCTATGTAATTAGCTTTATTGTTTTAACATTCTCCTTTTAAAAATACTTAAATTCATGTATTTTAAGAATATACAATAATAGTCTAGAAAACATAAATATTAAATAATTTTTAAGGAAGGTTAAGTAAATTTCCATATCAGAAGACAGAAACATAAAATATTGTGACATTTTCACATATATTATTTTAATTAATAATATTAATTACTACTAGTTGACACTGTTAGCTAGTCCTATATAAATAATAGCATTGATATAAAAGTAAAGACAGAATAATCTATTTTCAAATAAACAATTATTCCCATATATTTATGTTAAAATAACACATATATATCTATTATAATATTGTAGATTATTATATATTATATTTACTATATATTACATTATATTATATTAATTATATTATATTGGTGCTGTATGTCTCTTTCCTGGTGGGCCTCGTTGGCCTTTTTAGAAGGGTTGGCCTTCTAAAAAGTTGGCTATCCTATTCAAAGGGTTACATGGAAATAATGAAAAAATATCCTTAGTTTAGGGGAAATTCACAGGAGTATTTAGAGTAAAGAAGCATTATGTGTACAGCTTGCTTTCAAATGGTTGAGAGACGTATGATAATAGGTGGATGCAGATATGGATATAGATATAAGTTTATGTGTAGGCGTAGGTGTAGCTATGGATATGGTTATAAATGTAGGTATAAACCCATCCCATTGAACATTCTATTGTATGTAAATTATGCCTCAATTAAAAAAATGAAGTAAAAAAATCACCCTGAAGTCACTTCGTTTGACATTATATACTAACAAAAGTAATTCAACTCTATGTCCTTTGTCTTCTTGTATAAGCAAACATACATCCGAAGCTCTTTGAAAATTAATCATTAGAAATAAACGATCTTACAATGTCCCTCAAAAACATTTGGTTATAAAAACTACACCATTAGCTACTCTCGGCCCAAACAGAGTCATGTCATACTCGGATTTAGCATCCCTAAAGAGCCTGGCACAGTGCTGCTGTGAAGGCATGCGGCCAACAAGCAGCTCCTGAACTGTGTGTAGAGAAGAGTTCAAGGGGCAAAGGGATTTGTGGGAGACAACCAGAGCTGGTCGGCTTCCCCACTGTGTGCCATTAGGCAAGTCAATGAACATTTCTGAGCCCCCATTTACTCTCCATAAACCAGCAGAAATCAGAACCTATGACCCCATCCAGCTTTAAATAGCTACTTCTTTAATTCCAGGAATAAGTAACACAAGTACGATTATTGGACTCAGTGAGAGATGTGCTGAAGTCAAAACATAAGTAAAAGGGCAACATTTTCTCTATGATTTACATTGCCATATTCTGACATACCAACAAAAGGACCGAGCGTGTGAAGGGAGAAACTACAGATGTTTGGATGTTCACATTGGCTTATTATCAAGATGCTGAGCCTGACTGCTTTGAAGTGAAAAGCAAACGGAAAATCTCTGGAGGATGCAGCTTCCCCTGAGATTTCTCAGATGTGCTCAGTTCTGGCAGGGCCACTCAGCCTTCCAGAGCGTCCTTTTACAACCAAAACAATTGCCCACATTTTGAAGTGAAACTCTGAATCATTTTTTGTTCTAATCTTTGAAACAGCTCCACACATTTTAGTTTAAAAGCCTTTTAATAAAACTTGTCATGTCCTTAATTTTTGCTGAAAATGTTATAAAGACAGCTAACGCTGCAGATATGTATAGATACATAATTTTCTTAGAGAAAATATGTACTTATTTCAAAACATTTTTGTGATTCTTACCTTCACTTATATATTCAGGAAGAATATATAACTTTAAAAAGATGTAATTGGACAATTAAGGTGTATTTCCACTTAGTTCTCATTTTCATTAGAACATAATTCAACCAACATTCAAATCTATTTTTGGTACTTAGTCAACTTTGTAAAACTGATTTGATTGATTCATAATGTAATTCCACTTGAATTTGTTCATAGGAATGGGAAAAGATAAATGTAAAACTACTTCGAGGGATGCCTGGGTGGCTCAGTTGGTTAAGTGTCCGACTCTTGATTTTCCCTCAGGTCGTGATCTCAAGGTTTATGGGTTGGAGCCCAGTGGGCTCTGTGCTGACAGTGTGGAGCCTGCTTGGGATCCTCTCTCTCTCCCTCTCTCTGCCCCACCCCTGCTCGTGAGTGTACCCTCTCTGTCTCTCTCTCCCTCTCTCTCTCAAAATAAATAAACTTTATAAAAGAACTACTTTGATATTTGCACTACTTTATTAACAAATTGATGTTTGTTTTCATTAAAATATGGCTCATGATTCAACAGGAATCAAGGGGCTGTTAACTTTATAGGTCCATATTTTATCAGTCGTGTCCCATAGAAGAATAACTAATTCTATAAGACATTAATAGGCATTCAGAAAATAAAATCATTTTGTGGTCAAACTTAGCTAGTACAGAATCCTAGATTCCCTTCCTAGAAATTCACGATACCTGTCTTCATTGTAAAGCTCTAAAAGTCCTGGGGTGCCCGGGTGGCTCAGTTGGTTAAGCATCCTACTCTTGATTTAGGCTCAGGTCATGACGTTGCAGATTTCTGAGATAGAGTCCTTAGTCGAGACTGACAGTCCAGACGCTACTTGGGATTCTCTCTCTCCTTCTCTCTCTACCCCTTCCCTGCTTGCAATCTCTCTCTTTCTCTCACTTTCTCAAATTTAATAAGTAAACATTTAAAAAAACAAAGCTTTAAGAAGTCCTTACGTGAAATAAACCAACAAGAAAAATGACCGAAGTCAGTTTTTTTTTTTTAACGTTTATTTATTTTTGAGAGACAAAGCACGAGTGTGGGAGAGGTAGAGAGAGAGGGAGACACAGAATCTGAAACAGCCTCCAGGCTCTGAGTTGTCAGCACAGAGCCCGGTCGCAGGGCTCCAACCCACAAACTGTGAGATCATGACCTGAGCTAAAGTTGGACACTCAACCGACTGAGCCACCCAGGTGCCCCAACCTGAGTCAGCTTTTTAAGTTCATCTGACTTTGTTCTGCCCGCCGGTCTCACCTCACTTATTGCTTGGGAATTCCTGTGTTCCAAACCCAGCTTTGGTCTTGTCTATCTTGAACATCTTAAGTGGTCC